TTTAAAGATCTATATAAGTATTGTGTACAATAATTTATAGTTTATAACTACAGTATCGTCCTACTTCATGGCAATGAGAACTATGATTGAATCATAATTATCCAGGCCTATATTATTTAAATATATATTATATTATTGAAACATGTAATAAATTTATCGTTTAAATAGAAAATTGTGCATACGTTATATTTTTCTGGAATGAAATATATAAAAATTGTAATATCAGCGCCATCTCTAGAGTATCATAAATGAGATTGTTGTACAAGTTAGCGAATAATGGGTTAGAGATAGAATGAGAATTGACTGTCTTCGCCATCTTTCGAGTATCAAAAACATTATTCTAAAAAGCACTTAGAGGGACAGCATTTAGGATCAATTCTTATTCTCTCTTTATCTCTCTATTATTTTCTATTCTTAGTGCATTATTCATATATGATATAGAATATCAATATATTAATAATAATAAAGAAAAAAGAATTCTATTTAATTAATTAATTAGTTTCATAATGAATCTATAATAGTTTCTGAAACAAATAAAATCATTAAAAAATTTATAAAAGATCATTTACTTATATTACATCAAGTACTTATCAATTGGTGTAAAACTTAAATATTAATTTTCTAATATTTTTCTTTGATATTATATTTGAGATGTTAAAAAATTATATATGATAAATAGCACGAAACAAATTTGTTATACAAATATAGTCAAAGAAAGAATATAACTACAGAATAAAACAATAATATCAAGAATAATAAAATTGTATTGGAGACTTTATTTTTTAAAAAATCAAATTTATTGTACACATGAACTTGAAAAATAATAATATGAATAAAAAAATTGAGTTTTGTAATACAAATATAATTTTTTATTGATGAATAATTTTTAGTAAATGAAAAATTTGTAAATGAAATTACCTCATACCTTATACCAATAGATGATTAAATCCTTGCATTTTGATGCTCAAAACATGGCAAAGATGGTCTGGAAGATGTCTTAGACCTCAAAGATTAAAAATATTATTCAGTGATAAAAGAACATTTTGATATCAATCTCTAAATCTCATGATACATGTTATGAGAATAACTACAACAATTATTGTACATGAAAGCAACAGAAGACATTATCAAATATAAAATGTATTAGATGCCATTATTTACTATTTTCATATAACTTTTCTCTATAATTTTTGCTACCATCCGGTAATTAAATTACACAATAACTTCTACTGAATCGTATAAATGGACTAGGGAATCTTTCATCCAAGAAAACTTAACACATTGCGTGCAATATACATATAATGGAATTGTGCTTAAATGCTTAATGAGGAAATCGATTTTCACTGGCCCCTATTCCATAAACACTTCCGTAAGACAGTTTGTTATTTTCACTTGGTATCTTCTAACTTGGAAGAAACATTCGATGAAATGGGTATGCTCAATATAGACATTCGTCAAGTACTTTATATTCTGGAACTGACAGGAACGTTTACGTGCACTTGGCCAATTAATCCGAATGACAGTAAAAAATATATCATTATTCGTAACATCTTGTGGACATTCACGATACTGAACGTGATTTTTTTAATAATATCGTTGATGCTTGCTATTTTTCACTTTCGAAGTGATATACCTAAATCGATGAAAACTGCCTCCGAGATGACTGCTTTGCTCGAAGTCGTTTTGGATTTGGTTCTCTGCAAATGGAACAACACTGAATTGCAGGTTAATTCAATTTAAAACAAAAACAGATATTTAAAGTTATAATAATTATAATTATAATAAAATTTCTATCAATCTCTAGGTTTTGATAGAAGAAGTCAGGTCGTTCTTGGAGATAGCCAACGAATACGAAATTAAAATACTACAGGGATATATAAATCGTTACAAAAAATTCTTCTCGACTGTTTCGATGGGATACATCTTACCTGCGAGCTCGTTCATTTTGATGCCTTTGTTCTCAGCCCAAGAATTACCCGCAGAGGGATGGCTTCCATTCTCCATCGAACCACTTGGAATATACTGCGTAGTCTATGTCAATCATATTTATTGCATTTTACAAACGTCATTTTGCATTTTTGTAGATTTCACGATTGTCATCCTCTTTAGTTTTCCCGCTGCCAAATTAGACGTATTACGGTCAAAATTGCGGCATGTGAATAATTACGACATGTTGGTCAGCTGTATCAAGGAACATCAAAAAATATTAGGGTATGATATATCTATTTTCTATTTAAATATCTGTGAAATCTCTTGTAGCTTTTATTTGATTTTTATACAAACATTATTTATACAATTTGTATGTTTCTATAAATTTTAAAAATTCGTGAATTACTTAAAAATAGGAAAAATAAAACGCATTGTAAGAAAGTATCTCTAAAAGTAGATTATTGATAATGAAGTAAACTAACTGTAAGGAAACTGAATTCTCATGTTCTCTATTTACATAATTTTTATACTGTTTTATATCATTTCAACTGTAGAGCATCTACGAAAATCATATCGAACCATAAATCAAATGTATTATCTTTTATTTTCTCTAGTTTTTCTTTATGTGATCAATGTTGTTTTGATACATTGAATGAAGACAATGCATTTTAGTGCATTACATCGTTCAATATAGAATTAAGCTACTTCAAGAGAGTTGATTCTTTACCGAGTTGAATAAATTAAGACTGTGTCATGGTTAGATTTGTGGAGGATACTAACGCTACTGTTGAGACTTTATTATTCAAAACGAACGTCACGATGGGAAGCACTGTGATATGCGGAGCTTTCCCCCTGCTTAACGTGAGTTTGGTCGAAAACTTACCTCTCTAGCACCATACATAGTGTAACGTAATAGCCGAGCAAGGAATGCTTAATCCTTCAACCACTTGATTCCTTATAAATGAAATTTAAAAAATGGCATAGAATTCAATAAAAATGTAATGTTTTTTTTTTGTGATGACTTCCTTTATTGTAAAAATTAGAGATTAAATTCTAGAAATTAGATTAGAAAACTCATGAAATTTTCATGGAAATTGTGGCATGGAGGGTTAAAGTTCATTGGATGATTTTCTACAAAATAAACATTTCTGTGTAATAATATTCAGAATCAATCATTGGGCGTGGTCACTCAGTTCCTTCCTCTGGTATTGTCAGGCATGTTGCACTTGTTCGTCATCGCCTGGCCGGCAGACGATTTAAGAGAAAGTGTAAGCCAGCCACTAATAAAAATTCGATAGAACGTCATCTCATCTGGTGTGCACCATTTCTCTATATTTTTTCTTCAAATAAAACAGATTACCATTGTTCATTTTCATTCCATATTCGAAAGATTTTAATTCGATAGTATATAAAAAATTTTATTTCCAGAGTATACAATTCGCAGAATCGATCAATGATATTCAATGGTTAGGCCAACCAAGAAAAATGAAAAGTTGCGTGATTTTCATGATGATAAGAAGTCAAAAAACATTTCTCATTCGAATGAGTAGTTTGTTGCCACCTCTTTCTTTGGAATATTGTTCGAACGTAAGCATTTTCAGTCATTTGTCTCGTGTGTAAGATAATATTTTAATTTTTTTGAAGACCTATATATATATATGTGTGTGTCTGTATGTATTGTATACAATGATTTATAGTTTGTAACTACAATATCATCCTACTTCATGGCAATGAGAACTATGATAGAATCATAATATATCCTGGCTTGTATCATTCGAATATTATTGCAACATGTAATAAATTTATCGCTTGAATAGAAAGTTATGCAATCGTTGTGCTTTTTTTAAAATAAAATATATGAATGAAAAATCTTACTCTGGATCCAATACATTTTTGCAATAGTAATTTTTTCTCCTTTCGGATGGCAACATAAGAAGATCATTTTCAATCTCTACGTAAGCTGCATCTATATCATAATAAATAAGATATTTATATATTCCATGTTGAAAAATTCTTCTTATAGTAACAATCTCTCGAAGATCGAAGATTTTTAGAATATCTTCATCTCTTTGTTTTATAACATTTTTACATTTATACACACATTTTTCATATTTTGAAAAAATATTTAATTATTAGAATAATTTATATAACAGAGAAAAAAGTAAAAAGTCATTCAATGCTAATGACTTAATTTACGATATCTATTGTAAATTGTACTAAATATACATACGCAATGTTTCTTCCACTGTCAAGAATACTATTGCGTGATAGCCATTCTTTGCACCTGTCTTACGCTATATAATCATCGCCGATCTATAATGCAAGCAATAATTACTATAAGCAAGAGAACAAAGCAATAAAACTCTTCCAGAAAATCTGTATCCTATAAAAGTTGTTTTTAAGAATAATTTTGAACATGATTTATTAAATTCCTCGCACGTGTAAAATATTCCATACCACGAGCAGTGTGTGCGAACATTTAGTTGTTTTCTAATACGATATAATTATATGCTACTTTCTGGCAATTTCTCTATTTATCGTTCTTTCGACCCCGATTAAATTTCATTTTATTCGATTCACAAGGCAAACAATTTCTTCCAATAATGTCGAAACGAATGACACCGGAAACAGTGATTCGCATTGCTTGGCTCAGCGTAGTAATAACAGTCTGTTGGCCACTTCCTATGGGTAGCGGCAGGGGTCGAATACTTGGCTTTAAAATTTTACAGATCGTTAGCATTATCAGCGATTTCATGCTGCTCTTTCCCATGATATATTCGATCTATTTGCATTTCGACGATATCATCGTTTCTTCTCAATGCGTTTGCATGTCGATAGCTTTGACTCAGCTTATTATACAAACTTTTATATGCTTCGTCAATCACGATTCATTGCAAGTAAGTCCTTATTCTCTCAATATTAGTTTGATGTAAGAATGATATATTTATTTTAACTGTATACAAATTGCAGCGTGTAATCGAAGAAATGATGACTTGCGTCAAGGAAGCGAATCAACAGGAAACAGAAATTTTTTACAAGTACATCGAGAAATGCGGTAGATTTTGTGGAGGTTCCATAGCGTGGATGTACGCGACCGCGATATGTTTTTCGTTAGGACCTGTAGTCTTACCGATCACCTTTCCATCGAAAGCTGAATATCCATTTCGCGTTAATTACGTACCCGTGAACGTTATCGTGTATATGCATCAAGCTTTTCTCAGTTTTCAAGGTGCTGCGCATATATGCTTGAGCATGATGGGCGCGCTTTTACTATGGTTCGCAGCGGCGAGATTCGAATGTTGGCCGTGGAATTGCAGAATTGCGCCAACATGCCTACGTTGATCGTCTGCGTTAAAAAACAACTGCGTTTAAGAAGGTAAATATAAATTTTGTTGAGCTGAAATTTTCATATTTCTAATAATAAATTTTTATCGTTTTCTCCTTTAGATACGCGGAACAAGTGATCGATAATTTTCGATTTATTGTACTTTACGCGATAGCAGTAAGTACGTTTGCTCTGACTCTATGTGGGATTATATTGATCATAGTAAGTAAAATTTATGATATTTCTCATATAAGCGGATAAAACCGAATTTTTGTTACATTTCTTATTTTAATGAAATATTAGAATAAGTGCAAAATAAACTTTTAAAATTTTTAAACTAATCGTACAATTACAAATTAAGCATTTTTCTTTTCAAATGTTGTTTAATTGTGATATTACAAAAAATATATATCTCAAAAGTGATAAAATATTTAATTTTCACTCGAAAATTGTTATTTTTGTGTTTTAAAACATTTTCTTATCGTGCATACTCGGTTTTATCTAACGTTTTACTAAAACAACATCGTATTAAAATTGATAATAATAAAATTTATACATAGAATGTACCAATACTTGTGAAAATGCAGTTCATAACCTTGTGTTTTACCGTGCTCACGGAAATTTATCTTTACGCGTGGCCAGCTGATTACATAAACGACATGGTAAATGAAATTCCATTATATGCGATTAATGAGTTGCATCATTTTCAAATTCAATCTTGTATTAATTCTTAGAGCATGAACATTTCACAAAGTGCATATAATTCTGTGTGGTACGAACAAACAATAGAATTGCAAAGAAATTTATTAAGCGTGATAACGTATCAAAAACCACTAATTCTTTCCATCAAATGTATATTATCAGAACTTTCTTTGCGTTATTATTGTTCGGTAAGTAAATTTTCGAATGTCAGTTGAAACGAATTAATCGAAAAATCTATAATCAACAAATTTATACCATTTCAGTACTTGTCTAATACTTTCTCCATCTTCACCGCTTTACGTGTCCTTATAGTGAAGAATTCATCATAAAATGAATATTAAATATCATTTTAAGATATTTATCTCTATATTCGTCCGTTTGAATTGCAAATTACTGAAATCATATTTATAAAACAATCATTTTGGTTTTTTCCCATATTTTTGTATCCTTTTAAAAATTTAATTGTTAAATAAACAATTTTTAAGATTTCTTACAAAAAAAAAATACAAGCAAATTTTTCAAAATTATAATATCGTATTAAAAATATTTATAATAATAAATAAAATTTCAAAACGTGGAAATTATAATATTTTTCTTTTTTAATAAATAATTCTTCTGTTTAATGTATAAAAAATTCTTTTTATGAATGATTTTAATGGAGAATGGAAAAACAGTCAAATATTTTAATCGTATTTTAATCGAAGAAATCTTATTTTAAAATTTTAGCAAATACCCGATATCACTCAATATATATTTTTTTTAAAAAAATATATATACATATATATCAAGATTAAGAAACTTTAATAATATATAGATATGTAAATGTACAATACAATGTTATTCTGTATATTGTAACGTTACTTGTAATTATTCGCAACTAGCAACCAGCTTTCCTTTCGATTGATGTTACTTTCACATCCCATCCTATAGATATTAACATATGAACCCTTCTGGAAACTATTAAGCACTATCTTTATTACTCGAGGTATAATGTAAGCCCTATCTGTATCATCTAAAGTTTAACAGATTTGATCATAAGAATCATTTAAAATATTCAGTGCTATTACATTTATGTTTAATAAGAAATAGATTCCAAGGATTCACTAATTCACGTTCCACATGCAACCCTTCCCACAGCACGTAACCGCACGTAAGAAAATAATTGCACGCATAAACGGAAAGAGAAACTCGAAGTCTATTATTAGTGTTACAACAAACGCAATATTTTATTTCTTTGGCGTCGAGACGATCGTCGAAGAGCATCGTCATTATTTCGGCATACGATCGAATCATACGAGTTATTTCTCTTTTTTCAATTTTCATCAATCGAATCGAAACGGTTGCGAAGAAGAAAAAGATTGGTGAACATCGATTCTAAATTTACGTTACCATGTTTGGGAATGCAACGCCAGAAAAAGCGATCGCATTTACCCAATTTATCGTGAGTTTATCCTGCTGTTGGCCACTTCCATCGACAGCCACCAAACTTCAAACACGTTGTTTCAAAATCTTGAGATCTTTGTTATTTCTCAATTCACTCCTACTTTTCTTTCCTTTGTTGTACGCGGTATACGTGAATCGAAACGACAATACGATGTTCTGTAAAGCAATGTCTTTGTCACTAGCCGTTATACAAGTGCCCTTACATTCGTCTTTCTGTATTACTCAGTACGATCGATTTCAGGTAAGACATTCTTATCCTCCGTTAACACACCACAAATCTCGGTGATTGTAATAACGTGTTTCAGCGATTGATCAAAGAGATCAAGTTTTGTTGCGAGAATGCAAACTCGTACGAGAGACAAGTTTTTCAAGGATACGTGAAGAACTATGCCATTTTCTACGGAATTTCCGCAATTTGGTTTTATTGGTGCGCTCTTATTGTTGTTGTGGGGACACTGTTCATATCCGATCCGTTCCCAACTAACGCGGAATATCCATTTCCCGTTGACTTCGAGCCCGTGAAAAGCATAGTTTTCGTGCAACAAGCGCTCGTTGGTTTTCAATGCTCCGCGCATTTGTGCATCAATATATTTTGCGCGTTGCTCTTACTCTTCGCTGCTGCGCGCTTTGAAATTTTGATGAACGAACTCCGCGCTGTTGAAAATATCGAATCACTGATAAAATGCATAGAAAAATATTACGCCGTCAGAAGGTATGATTTTGTGATGAGAGAGAAAAAAAAAGGGAATCAAGTTGAGGTGAATCGGAAAAAGATGGAACATAAAATTTGAATTGTGTGTGAAGTTTCGACGAATATCGATAGTTTCAGTTTCTGAAACATAACATTATTCGTGAAAATTTACGAGTACTATCAATATTTTTAAAAAAGTATTCCAACTTTTTCGAAATTATATTATTATTATTTTATATATGTATCTGAAGCAAATTATACGATATTGTGTATTATTGTATTAGATACGCAGAAGAAGTGGTAAGCTCGGCTCGATATACAACTCTAATTACGTTATGCATCTGTGGCGTCGAAAGTGTGTTTGGTGGTATCATTTTTATCGGGGTGAGTATTTTACATCTTATACTTCTACACGAATTAAATTAAGAAGTTGCGATTAATATTGTTATAGCGGGAACCGTTTACCGTGAAATTTCAATTTCTTACCGTGTCTGCAACTACTCTATTAGCAGTATTTATGTGCGCGTGGCCAGCCGATTATTTAATGGATGTAGTACGTTTTGATCAACTTTTGTATCGACTGTTGCAAAAAAAAAAAAAAATTAAACGTGTCTCTATTCTCAGAGTGAAAATACGATGCGAATGGTTTACGAATCGAAATGGTATAAACGATCTTTGAAAGTACAAAAATTTGTATTGTTTATGACGGTTCCACAAACTCCAGTCATCTTAAGAATCAGATGCATCATTCCAGCTTTCTCGCTCAATTACTATTGCTCGGTACGTGGATAATAATATAAAATCATACTATATCGAAAAATAACATTTGATTTGATTAATATTTCAGTTCATCACGAACGTGCTTTCTATGTTTACCGCACTACGAGTCCTGATGTACAAAGATGAAAATTAAATATTTAAATAATATTAATTCTATAATAATGTAATAAATACGTTAATAAAATAAATACGTTGCGTTCAATCCAATAAGTAAAAATAATTCAAGGAAAGAGAAAATAATTTAATGGACAGGTAACGATATTTTATTATTTTCTCTCCATGTAATCAATATTGAATAAAAGTGAGCGACAAATTACAACTATTGTTATTTACTCTAAATTATGTATCGCTGTATCTAGAGGTACTAACTTAATTAACAAGAAATGAAATATATTTCTACCTACACCGCTCGCTACAATAATCGGTGCTTATAACTAATTATCGCATATGCTCTAATTCCTATTCACGAAACGGAAACGAAGAGGTTTATTGGGTACATTCACCATCATAAATCTACTTTTGATATCAGCGTAATCGTATTCAATTCTGAATTGTCGTACAAGCTGCAAATATAACGAAGAGATTAGAAGATTACACGATCGAATAATGATTGATTAAATTCGTATACCTTCGCAGTCAGTAGCATCATTTTTGCTTCAGCCATATTTTTCCCTAAGCACGACCTTATACCGTAGCCGAAAGGTAAGTAGCTAAAGTGTACGTCCTCCTTTGAAGAATTGGACAACCATCTTTCAGGCCAGAACTTGAACGGATCTTCAAAGTTCTCCTCGCGTTGCGAGGTAATTTGATTTGCCATTATGACAAACGTCTGCAGAAATTTTATTTTTCAATAAGATGGTAATAATTTTTAATTCCATTTTATCTGTTACACGCTTACCCCTTTAGGTATTGTGTATCCATGAAGAGATATAGTTTTTGGTAAGAGTCTTGTGATGTACGGAATTGCGGGATGCAATCTTTGAATCAAACGATTCGTTTTATATTAATTGTACAATTCTTATATATATATATACACACATTAAATTCATTGTTCTCAAAATTAATACCTTAATGTTTCCTGAATGCAGGCTTTCAAATATGGCATATTTTTCAACGACTTCTCTGTGAGAGAAGAGTTATCATTCGACAGAACGGATATGATTTCATCGTAAACCTTTCTTTGAGTCCGAGGATTCTTTGCCAAGTGATATAACAAAAACGCCTCTGAATTTACCGTCTGAAAATCACACGAACGTCATACCAGAAAATTTGGTCGAAATATCAATATTTTATTTATTTATCTCTTACCGCTTGTATACCCAAAATGATCATATCCATCAGCATCGTACAGATATCATCCGGATGAATACCCTCGTTCACGAGTAATTTTTCCAAAACGGGTGAACGTTCGGTCATTGAACTTTCTTCGCTGTGAGATTTTCGAATTCGAAGTTTACACTGGGCTTGACGAACATATTTTCCTATGACACTGAAAGAAGACGGAATTACAAGAAAATTTCTTCGAGAAGTTCAAATCTTGGGAAAGAAATTTCCTGGATCAACTCACTTATCGAGCACGTCACAAGCCTCGAAAAGCTTTTTGGCGAATGGCGTCAAGAAGAATCGCCAAACTTGAAAGCCAGTTTCACAACGGCTCATATACTTGTGGGCCGTCGTTAAGGCGTTTATAAGTTTCGATGCCTCGGACGATGAATTGTAACCTACCGGCTCCAGAAAGCCTAGACGTTTGTTGAACGTTAGATCGCAGAAACACTCCATGGCCCAACGAATCAAATCTTCGTAAAAGCTAACAGGCACCTGCTCGCGCAATTGATTTATTAACGAAATGATAGATGATTGATATCACTTGGAATTGAATAAGATTTAATAGACGAACTTCGTTTTGTCTATTGCGTATTTTGCATATCCTAGTGATAAGCTCGTCGCAGCACGTGTCGATTTTAGTAAAAAACGTCGAGGAAATTTGATTGAAGGTGTCTTCTACTTTGTCCCTGATCTCCAACCATTCTGTACCCTGCCTGAATATAATTCAATAAATTATATTTAAGTTTCGATTTCACGAACTTTGTATAACTTTATATAATTTTCCAGGTATTTACTAACATGGAGAACGGTCCTGCGAGACGATATTTACGATAGTTCAACCGATAATGTTGCAAAATATCGATCCCACTTCGTATAGGTGTATCACCTTCCTGTTTAAAGACCTCCGCTATGTGTTCGGGTCTACAGCAAGGAACAAGGATAATAGGCCAAGATGTAATTAGGCGAGATTATCGAAAATTATTACCTGGGAAAAGGTTACCTGTGAATCATGACAATATCTCCTGAAAGAGGTCCATTAATCCTCACGATGCAACCATATTCGTTGAACAAGTATTTTAAAGGTGTGATATTGCGATTCCACGTTAATCGTCCTGAAAATGGCTCAATTGAAATTTAATAATTTATCTTCATAAAAAAAACGAACTATTTCAAAACTAAACAAACGAGTTTCACGTGATTCTTTTTTTTTTTTCTTTTCTGATTAATCAAAAATCGCGTAATTCGAAATCCGAAGAGCAAATGAAATTTTCTTCTTAACTTTTCTATCGATCATTCTTTATAGAAGATTTTTTTTTTTTTTCTTACTTTTCTTTTCTTAAAATCTTTACGAATATATATATATATATTATTTTTTTTTTTATTAGAAAAAAGACCGGGCTCTTCGCATTTCTACCTATCGATACTTCAACAGATCGTACCCTGGGTGAATCTGTTGATTAGCAGACTGGAAAGCAGTTGCGTACCGAGGAGCGGCACGTATTTCCAATATTTCTCCCAGATCTTAAGAATCGCCGGTCCAGGGATCTCGTCGAAGGGCAATGGCGTTTTGTCAAAGACCTGCGTATCGACCTTCATCGTGGATACCTCGAAGGTGGTCGGTGACACCTCCGTTGTCGTTGTATGATCCAACAGAGGAATCGTGTCCGTGCGTAATGATTCGTCGACGGAAGCCGTTTGAGATTCCGTCATCGATGCGGCTAAAATTCGGGGAAAAAAAAGAAAGTTGAATAACCTAATAACAGTAGGCTGAAACATACTTACAAAGAATATCGGAACTTTGAAGGTTCAAGCATTTCTGTCCCTCGTTCGATCCTAGAGACTTCGATAACTTCATCACTGAGTATTGTCGAGAAATCGACATTAAACTTGGCAACAATCGTTGCATTTTAATCGGAGTTTATTAGCCACAACGTTGCGTTTTGTACAAGAAATAACAGTCTAGTTGCCCTGGTAACTGGTGGAAAAAAAATTAAATATCGCGTTTGCAAATGGCGACGGGATGCGCGATCGAGACGCGTGTCGATTTTCGAAGAGTGAACGGAAGAGTGAAGTTGTTTACGTATAAATTTTATTTAACATACGAATATATCGTTACAAATTACAAAACTAGATCGCGTCAAATATCGTCAATGTACATTTTCAAGGTTCACACATCAACCTCGATCTCGATGTCCTCTTCGTCCTCCGAGGCAGTCTTTTCACTCTTTGCGTTATCCTTCCCTAATTTCCTAGACGAATGCTTCTGAGAATCAAGATTCGACAAAGCTGCGCTTTCGCTCTCTTTCGTATGTCGCCATTTCATTCGACGGTTTTGAAACCATACTTTTACCTGTAGAGACGATACAACATCGTTCCAATTTCTTTCTGATTTCTTTTTTTTTCTTTTTTCTTTTGTGTTTTGTAATTTAAAATTATACTTGTGCATCCGTAAGGCCAAGAGTGGCGGCAAGTTGCCTTCTGTCCGGTTTCGTGATGTACTTTTGCAAGGAAAATCTCCTCTCCAATCCCTTTCGTTGCAAGGAACTGAACACAGCTCTCGACCACGACCTCTTTCTTCTGGTATTGGATTCTGATTGATTGGTGGGTGTCGAGGTAGTGGACGATATCGGAACTGTAAATGTTGATAATTAAAAAAGAAAAAAAAAAAAAAACAAAAGTAGAGAATCGAAACACTTTAGAAATTTCTAAATAAACAGCGTAAGATAGATTTCATTCGGTGAAGCACAAGTTAGAGAATCTCTGGACGCAAGTGCAAGATTACAAATTAGAGGGAGACGTGACACGATGTAAACGATAGTTCTTAGCTGGATGGGTGTCTGTTTCAACAGATCCTATCCCGAACAAGAGGCCTCCAAGATTGGGTACTTCTGGCTGATTTACAACCCTACAGAAGTATACAACATGTGTACGAGTTTAAACAGTGCGGTTCTCTCTCCGGTTGGTACGGTCCTCGGCATGAATTGGACAGTGTGTAAGGTCATACTTATTTCTGGAACTTTATAATACCGTTTGAAATTGCAACATCTATTGATAAATTCTAGCGAATTCTTTATCGTTTATTATACATTTGAATTAATTGACCGTGCTTTTCCTATCTAATAATTTTCTCGCGCGATCATCTCTCGATGATCTCTTTGATATCGTTATTTTTATTACGTATATAAACGGCTCGAAGAGAACGAAGGAGACCTTTCGACTTTTTTCACTAACCAAGAAGGGGGTAAACCGCTGTTTACATCGTCTATAAACGAATGGTGGCACTTAAGATGTCGTTTAAACACGAACAGGAAACACGAGAATACACTGGCGCGTAAATATTTTGCCCTACTTGCCGTCGAGTATTCGGGAGACAAGACAGTGGTCCATATGGTCACATTTGTTAATGACGCAACCTTCGTGAGTCGAGGTTTTTAGACGATTTCCGCTAAAGGGATCAAAACGATCGCAAACGAGCAACTCTTGAGTTAATTATCGATTAACCAACGTTATAAAGCTCTATTAGTTTCTTCGAAATCATGCTCGAACATATATATATTGGGTAGAATATGATATACTTTTATTATCTTTTTCCAATTCTCACCTCTGGGGACAGGTCGAAGCGGAGCCGGCCGATAAATATTCGTATAATTTTCGATGTTTCCGTGGTTGGTGCTTCCGTAACTTGCGGAAATGGAAGTTTGAACGTAAGGAAACGAGGGACAAATTCGAAGAGCTTCGCATCTGACGCAACTTCCGGGACAAGGGCACCTCACCATCGAAAATTGTACTGGAAGTGGCCTGAGTATGTCTTTTGAAACACATATGTTTAATCAAAATTGTTGATCTCGTGACGATTACTTTTTTTTTTTTTGAAATCAAATTGATTCGAAGATCGCGTTAAATAGAAACGGTATATTCTTACCTGTTTTCTTCGTGGAAATTTCATCCGACAATATCCGTTCCACTCCAAACTTCAATTGCTTCGAACAATTCGTACCATTCACAACACGAGTTTTCACTTCGTTCATTTTTCGCCTTTCAGTTGAGGGGAAAAAAAAAAAAAAAAATAATCGCTTAACGCAATATTTTAATTATCCTAAAATTTTCCGTAGCACACATTTAACCGTTTACAACATTTTCCAACAATGCTCCACTATTAAAAATCGTAACTAAAATAAATTACGCGCAACATTTGCGTACACTTGACCGAACATCACGGTTTGTGTCATGATTAAAAGTAGACGCGCCAGTGTCTTTTTTCGACAATAGTTCGATTCTTCTTCGGATCGCGGATAGACGATGCTAGAATCGACGTTAGATTACGATTACGACGATTAATAGTTAAAAATGTTAAACAATGACTTTCACGGAAGTGCATCGGAATGAATGAGTGAAGCAAGAGTTCCTGCCATGTTCAGCACGGAATTTGGTTTAAAAAAAATCACCGGAGCTCGGTGCAATTTCGTACGTGGGATTGGTCTACACGAGAGTTGTAGGCGTGGCTCTAAGAAGATTGGTTCTTGAAGGACGATGAATCTGGTGTCAGACTCGATGGAGCATTGGTCGGAAGAATTCCCGATTCGGTGCGTTTTTCCCGAATAAATATTTGCAAAACACGTTCGACGTGCGAAACGAGCGAATCGTAACGGAATTTGATGGATGGTTGGTTTAATTATCTGGAAAAAGTAATAAAAAGAAAATCGTTGAGAAAGCATTGCGACGCACAGCTGAGTTGACGTTTATAGTTTAATTTTATTTGGATATATTTTTTATTCTTTTTTTTATACAGATTACATTTTTTTTTCATAATCATTTTTTCATAGAAATTATATACTTTCTATATTTATCGCTATAATTAACTTACTACTACTAATCGTTAAATAAATACGCTTACGATCGTAGGGAATCGTAGGAACGAAAACGTAATCAGTCGTACGTTAACAGAGAAATAGGGAGGAGGAATAAAAGTTGGAAAAAAACAAAAATAGATGCTATTCGGGTTATACGTATCTGTGGAATAATAGCATAGAGACGTATGGCTGATGATATCTCTGGAAGCCATATGGTTATCTTTGCATGCAGACTTTCGGAGTATACAGTCACTTAGGTGTTTATTTGAAGAGCCATGTTTGAAGCAGCCTCTACCCACATGCTAAGAATATTCTTCGGGATATGTACACACCGTGATCCTCTATTCGATTTTATTAGGTTTTAGGATTTTCAAGAGTCCAGCGAATCATGATAAGCGAACCCCTAATTGAGTTCGATCACGACCGACTTTTATCGCCGATCTCTCATATTCTCGTGATCAATGCTCCGATACATCGATTTTCAAACGCGAAACGTACATTTTTCATCGTCTAAAATTTTCTAAGAAAAAATTCTGCCAAAGATCTAAACGTCTAAAGATAGGAGGGGAGGGGGAACATAAATCTTCCGTTTCAACTACACTTTCCGGATCCGTTAGACAGCTTTTTATACATTTTTATACATTGCATAATATTTCGACAACAGGATCATCCCCCGATATAACTTTTCAATTTCTAAATTGTTCTCTAACGATTCGAAGGCAGGCACGTCTCTTTTAGGACGATTATACGCTTGCAAACCCTGCAAGTTCTGAAAAATTCCAGGATTTCAAGATTATCGACAAGATTGTTTCGATTTATCTTTCAATTTTATTTTTTTTTTTTTTTAATTCCATCGAGTAAATGAAATGTTGTTCTGAAACTCACCGAGAGCACTATAACATTTCCATTGCCCGTATTTCCTTGACGAATTCCAGTTATTATGAGACAGAGAAGGTAGCCACCGAAAGCAAGGAAGGAAAGCGCCGTCACCGATAATTGAAATATCTTCGAAATTTTCGTATCCTTCCTTTCTCCTCGTAATGATCCTCGTACCTTCTCATCGGTTTTCTGTTTGTTCTTTTTAGGGGTTGCGCGACAGGCAACGACGACGAAAATGTTCTGCTCGATATTTCTTCCGGTTGCTCGTCTTCCTCGACATCTGTACGCGATTCGATTCGATTCGTTTTTTTTTTTAAATTTTCTCTCTCTCTCTCTCTCTCTCTTTAAATCGTATATTTTTCTAAAGCGTTAAAAAGTTTACCTTCTTCATCCCCGAGAGTGGACTTTATTTGGATCAACTCGCTCATCGGCAGTTCGCTCAAACAAAGTACTTCCTGCGTGTAAAAAGATGTTCGATTTGCCAATGTAATTTTCGAGCCGAGAAACACGAATAAAAGCGATACCGTTACGATATTCATTTTAAATCGTATTTTAACCGAAATTGTTATCGTTTCGACCGAATTTCGACTTCTCGACGACAATGCCCGATTTATACTAATCCAAGAAATATTGTCCTAAGAGTTGTCTCAAGAGATTTCTATTCTCGTGCTTGGTTGACAAAGCGAGAAGAATCTCGATCTTGATTACCAACGAGGAACAGGGACGTCGCGATTCAGCAAGGTGGAAACGAGTAATTAACATCCGTTATAACCGGGTCGAGTGTGATTCTTAGTGTTGGAAAAACTTCGGTCGCGTAACGATGAATTTTCCGTGCGTATTCCTTTACATCTCGACCATGGTGATCTTTGCGTCCAGTTCGCCTCAACAGGACGATGGTCGGTCGTGAAAATGAATTTTCGAATTTAAATTCAATATTCAACATCAACGAACGACAGTTTTCTAATATTCGTAAAATTTGTTGCAGGTGTACTCGACAAGATAAAAACGGGTTTCGAGTACGCGTCGAATTATCTGGAAACTGCAAAGGACATTGCCGACTTGGTAGCGAGTAGTTTGGGCAGTAAGCAAAAGGAGAAACGAGGTGAGGACGAAGATGCGAAGAATAAGGGAAGTTTTGGCCCTTCGACCGTCATGTCTGCTTTCTTTCGCCTCTTTGGATTGGATTCGCAGAAAGTTACAGCGATTGCTGTGAACAGTGTCATATTCCTCGCACAAATGGTACTTGTTTGTTATACCTATCTATATACGTCGTTGTCTTAATATCGAATAATTAAGAATATGATCGATGAGATGCAGATAAGCTCGTTGTTCAATTTGAAGCCGAAAGAGAATTCTGGTAGAAGTTTGGAAGATGAGAGTGACGCTTGGAATCCAGCGAGACTTATTACGGAGAGCAAGAACGAGAGAGTGAGTCCTAAAGCGAAGATCGAAAATTAGGAGATATCGGAAGGAATTTTCTTGCAGATTCAAAATTTACTGGAACAAGCTCGAGACGAGAATCTAGCGAGTCGATTGATGGACAGGTTGGATGGCGACGATTCATCGTGCATCAGATTGCTCGTGTGCAAAATTTCACCTGTTATCAAGGCGGCGCAATATTCTTTAAAGAACAAAACTCAAGATAAATGGCATCGAATGACTTCTTGGTTACCGAGCAAAGACCAGTTCGAAGAAAACAGCGACGAATGCGAAAACACGCATACAGATTGCAGTTTATTTTTCTAGCGGTAGCTATTGAATCGGCCTGTAGTAGTTTATTTAACTTTATTTTGCTACGAACTTGGTCCGGGAAGAAATGAGGATTGGCTCGAAGAATACTTTTTCGATTACTTTGCACAAAATTGAACGAACGCTTTGAATTTCATATATATATGTTTATATATATTATATATAAAAATCGATATGGAAGATATTACTTGTAATGAAAATTCTATGCATGAGTAACTGTGTATAATGGATATATTGCTAGGAATGAAAGAATTGGTTTGCACAGCATATATATTTGCGTCCATACAAATATATACTATATTACAGAATATACAAGGTATACGAAAATTAATTTCTGCGAATCGACGAATGAAAAAGAAAAAAAAGCAGTGAATCACCATTTTCCATTTTGGAATATGCACCATTTATTTTAAATAAACTCCTCGTGAATTAAATTTGGCAATATACCCTTTTCTTGTATCTCCAGCCATCTCCAGGATGGCCGCGCTCGCGCTCCATTACACCAAATAAAATTACTATTGCTTCAAATCGTTCGATCTTTACAGACAACGTTTGCCTCTTGTACGTTGAACAAGGAAATGCTTTCGATAATATCGTTTCTGAAATAGAAGCGTTTCCTTTAAAAAGTAATCGCATTTTTAACGACGATTTAAACGCGTTTCCTCATGGATATTTAACGAGGATTTTAACAAAAAAAAAGAAAAAAAATGATCGACACTTTTATACAAAACGCATTGTGCGAAAAATATAATATCCAGTAAGAAAACTGCGCGATCGAGTTATAAAACGAATTATTTATGTGAACAATTGCACTGTGAACGAAGCACCAAAAGAAACAATCGCAGAATCATTGGACGTAACTTGTTAACGATTTACCAACATCCGAAGCAATAAACGTCGATACGTATTTTTCACATGGAGGAAGAGGAAGGTTTACTTATATGATTCCTTAAGGACGGTGCTAATGAAAAATCTCTACGCTTCGAAACCTTCGTAAGTCGAACGATTTTAAAATGACTTCTACAATTTCGAATATCCGACTCGAATCTCCTATTAATCACCATTATATAATCTTTAATACGGATATAAAATCAACTATACGTATATATAGTTTCGATCCGTGTTCTCACGGATATTATACGAACGTCGATTAATATCAGGATTGATCGCTAAGTTAAACGAAAGTAGAATGAAAATGTCGATGACGATATACAAAGAGATCGTAATAGGAAAGAAGGAACCATTCTCGAGTTCAAGTCAGCTACGTTGAAACAAGGTTTCACGCGAAATTACCGGGACAATATTCTACGTTGCGTCAGACTTTACAGTTCACTCTGTCACATTCCTCAACGTGGAGATTATATTAAACGCTCTCTCTCTCTCTCTCTCTCTCTTTCTCTCTACGCTATACATCTAATGAGATCAGAATTATTGCGAGTTATATGATATCCGGAATTGTCGATTGAACGCCTCTAAAAATGAATAATAATAAATATCGATGGGAGGGGTAATTAGCTATTTCTGGTCGATCGATCGATCCAGAAACATTTCCTACTTTTCCTTTACGGTAGATATATATATATCGGTGATTCGGTTCTCGAGAAAGTATCTCGATAATTACGAAAGTTTGGCATTTGAGAGACACACACACCGCGTTAAACACGCAACACGCGCGTACAAGTTCGAGGCATTCGAAGAAGTGGCATTCGAGAAAATACTAGCTCGAGTCGTCTATGAATCCCTTGGTTGTTGCGTCGTTACGCTATTACACCCGACTTACAACAATGCGTATACAACGATACGATTAACTCGATACAAAAGCTAAGTCTTTCCGTTGACAATTTTGATTTCAGATATATCACATTTACGACCGTGATAAAAAGTAAAATTTGAATCGACACTTCTCGTACGTCGAAGATCCACGCGTCCAAGATTTTATCACACATCAAACGTCTCAAACGCGATTTCCAATCCGCGAAACAATCCCAAATATTACATGTATATTACTAGTAAATAGATGTATATGATATATATATATATATATAGGTGGTACGCATATTATACATTGTTACATTCACGGAAAAATCGATCTCGAAAATATATATAAAGGTTCAACAGGCTGTCGGGAAGAAAGGAACCAGATTGGATTTGTATCGAGCGATACGGCTATCGAGAAAAATTCTTATTTACAATAGAGAACTTGGCCTGTTTTTTCCCTTCCTGTCTCTCTCTCTCTCTGTCTCTCTTCTCTCTCTCTCTCTCTCTCTCTCTCACACACACACACACATACACACGTTTGATTCGTTTCCTCAACGACTCGCGAGAAATTTGCACGATGAGATCCGTTCGTATTCCCATTATGAAAGTGTTCCGTTTTTTTTTTTTTTTATACATGATTATCAGCTATAACGTTGCAGTTATCGTTAAAAGAGCAGCGCCCGTCAAAATTCCTGGTAACGAAACAATAATTGTCCAGCCACCCCGAATAAAATCGTAAGAAACGTCGACGAGCGTTTTTGAAAATTGTGAACGCGGCGACAAAATTGCAAAAGTTCGCATCTCGAAGCTCGTATTCGTTTCGATCGAACGGCTCCAAGGCCACGATCTTCCATTGCGTTGCATCGTGGCTGGATGCGCGTCCAATTCGACGCAGATTCGGCGCGCGACAAAACGAATTTGAGCTCGATAGGAACAAGCTAAGGGAAAGTTCTTAAAACGAGCACGTTGTACATTTGGCCATGGTAGGTACATTTGGCGAATCTCTCGATCGAAACCCTCGCTTCCAAACGACTATTCGATTCCATCGGGTGGAATGGTAATACAACTAACGAAAACACGTCTTTTTGAATTGGTTGAGAAACACGTGTAGATACATGGAGTCTACATCGACGAAACGAGTGCTGGAATCGCCTAACGATTGTCGTTTGGAACCAAATTTTTCGACGGATTGCGGGCTGCTTTTTATAGAGTCGTTCGACCTGGACTGATCCGTGCCCTCGACGCAGGCTTGTCTCAGCCAATCCCGTAGATTCCACGTTCTCTCCATCAGATTCGAGGAATGTTTCTCAACGGTACAAACGCTGGTTGTGAAACCGCTATTGGGACCATATTGGGCGATAATGTTTTGCGTGGTGGGTGTCGGTGGTTGGGTCACCGTTAACTGGGATAGGATGTTCGACTGAATGTTTGGAGTTGGACCGAACGTTCCTGCAAAGTACACCGAGTTACAGACTTTGAAGATTTGGAGAATCTTTTTTTTATATATATATATATTAATATCATTCGTTATCCATACGGACGAGAGGAGATTGCTCGTGCGAGGAATTTCTCTTCACCTTGTATATTATTCGATTCGGCGGCAAGATGATGGAAACGCAGCCATCGCAAATACGAATACATCAAAGTTGAGGGCGGTGGTATGTTGGTGTCCTGACGTTTATTCAGCACGCCCCATATCTCACGTATTTCCGAGTTTAGGTTTTCCAGACTTGCGATGATTTCCGTCGACTCCTGGTAGTGATCCGGTTTGTCTGAGTACGAAGGATCAAGACCACGAGATGGAAAATAAATTCTTGAGTGGAAATAAATCAACGAAAGGCGGGATTTCGAAGTCTCGAAGAAATGAACTTGAAAGAAAATTAAGCAACAAAACAGAGAGAGGATATATAATCGAGAAACAATCGACGGCAGAATAGAAAGAGAGTCGATTACATGGAGGGGGCTCACCTATGAACGTGTCAGTTCCGAGATCGGTTGAACTGACGCCGCTGCTCACGCTCGACATATCGCTCAACGTCAATTCCTCGTTTTTCGTCGCGTTCGCGTCGTTCTCGTTCGTTTTCGCGTTAACCACTCTCTCCAAAGATTGCTCCAAATGCCTCAGATGGATCACTTTCTCGCCCAAAAGGCTCTTGGTTCGATGCAAATTCACCTCCATGTCCGAAAGTTCGCGTTCTTCCTAAAAATTGAATTGAACGAACGTACGAAGAGATGCGACGGATTCGAACATAAAAAGAATCGTAACTCGACGAAAGAGTTTACAATCGTACCTGAAGCAATTGTTCGAGGGTCGCTTTGACGCTACGCTGCTTCCAAGCCCTCTGCCTCCCTTGGAACACGTTCTCCTGATGTCGAAGCGCCTCCCGTGCTCTCTTCACTGAATCCCTTTCGACGTGAATTCGGTGCCGGAAGAACTCCAGCTCCGAAGAGGCGTTCGCCGGTGCTAGAAAATCGAGCAGAATCCTTTCCGGTGTCACCCGATGAGCTCGGACACGAGCTATGCTAATGAAAGCGAGCGTGCGAGTAAAGGGATAATCAAAAAGAAAAAAGAAGAAGAAGAAGAAGAAAATTAAAAACTAAAAAATTCTACGCGGGAGGATGAAGGAAAATAAAAAATATGATGGTGCACTTACGAATAGGTGAGGGAGAGTGCAAGCCGCTAGTTAAAGTAGAGCGTATAGATGCCTGGGGAAAGAAATAAAAACGAGGACGAATAAAAACGACGAGTGTAAAGAAACTTTACTCCGAATTAAAAAGCGATTAAGCTGTGATCGATATAATATTTGTAATGATGGAAATATCTGTCTCAAACTACGAAGATGTAAAAATGTGTTTTTTACTGCTTCTGGAACACGGATTTGATTACTTGGACAACTAAGAAGCCATCTCTGTGGAGAAAGTTACCTTTGTCTTGGAAAGGATATCGCAATGTGTAGGCCGTTTCGTTGCTTGGCAATTGATCACCGAGATCCTCGAGCTTCTCCAACTGTTTTCTTATATTTTCGACTGGATTTTCGAGATTGTTGTTATTGTTGTTAATATTATTGCCAGTGGTTGAACTCGGTTTGGCTTGGATCGTCGGTTTCTTGGCGAAGTTCTTCTTGCCGGTTGTTACGTTCGCGTTCGTCTCGCTGGCGATGCTCGTTTCGTCGGAATGGAATCTCACATTTTTCGCGTTCGACGTAGCTGCGCTCTTCTGAAACCCCGAGTTCGCCTTCTGAACCGAGTTCTGTTCGTTCGGATCGTGCAATTCTTCCGACTGCTCGTTCGTCGTCGTCCGAATCTCGGGCGGTTTAGTGTTCGTCGTCGCCGAGCTCGAGTGCGTGTTTCGTAATGGGATACTGCGAGCACGATTTAAGGCCTATAGCCAGACATTAGGACGAATCGCATGAACATGAGGGAGTACCTTCACAGTTTGCGCTCGAAAGATTCGAAAGATTCTCGACGAGTATCGACAATCGATAATCGCCATTTGCGCGGAGATAGATAAATATTATTCTCTCTTCTCTTCGGATCAATGACGAGCGAACGTCATTCATAGAAAAATTACGCGCGTACGCGTGATAAGATGGGAAATACGATACGCGCGCAAACAAGCGTCACGTTTAACCGTGAAGGTACTGGAATTGGTGACGTGGAGGATGGATGTGCAATAACTTAATCAACTAGTACAGTGAACACTCGATCCAAATATAAATATCGTAACATATCGTGGATAAAAACCGTGCTTCCGACTGATTTTGTTAAAGTCATGGCACGTACAAGTGGTTCAGAGCGCGATCCAACATGTCAACCCTTTGCGATTCAATTCGTTTCTCTGATTTCACGCGCCCTCCTCTTGTATGACGCCGCTACAATGGCGCGACATCCTAAAATATTGCAATGAAATGCCGAATGTTTGCTGCAACTATTATTAATGGAAAAGCAAACGGTTGACCGGAATGAAAACTAGCGAAATGACACGTTTAAACGATTAAACTCACTTTTGATCCGACGACTCGGTCCTGTCGGTTCTCGTCCTCGTCGACGTCGATCTCTCCGTCTCCGAGGCGGTCGTGTATCCCTCCTTCCTCCTACTCCTCCTCTCGATAGCCGAACGAACCTCCTTCTTCAATTTCATGTATTTTTCCTTCAACGCCATGTACTTATCTTGGAGCAATCGCTTCTCGCACCTCATCTTCTCGAACTCGATGCTTTCTTGGTGAATAGCGCGACCCGTCTGTTTCTTAGCCTCTTTCTCAGCGTCGCGCGAGAAATCGGCGCGAATCTCTTCCAAACACTGCTTGTACATCTTGCGCGTGCGATCCTCCTGAAACACCATCTTATTCTTATTCGCGTGGAAATGTGGAAACGCGTGTATCTTCCCTCCTAAGTCTTCGTCTTCTATCCTGTTGAGATTTCGTTTCATTCGTGCATCGAAACGACATACGTGTATGAATAAAAGCAGCATGCAATGCGTGTGTCTAGGTCGTAAAGTAGTATAAGGGTGCTTCTTTGCGATAGCATACACTGCCACTTTATTATTATTTCTTCGTATAGTATAATATCTTCTGAATACAATCAACTTAAAAGAATAATCCTTCGGATACAATGATCGTAAAATTTGTGATTTGTCTTAATAATATCCTATATAAGGCGCTTTAGACTGGACGGTGTCGTACAATATCGGGCCGAACGTGGAATTATATATCGCACATCTAATTTACATCTAATTGTAAAAGGAGAATCGATAAGCGAATAGCTTTGTTGCGTTCGTAGAAAAAAAGTGACGTTTAACGAGTTAATTAATCGTTGCGTAACGCTAATAGCTCGCACCATACGGATAACATAATATCTTTGAAAGGAAAATCGTATAAAATGCTATAAATCGACGAGATCTAACTAGATCTTCGAAAAAATAGAAAAATTACTCTATTATGCGTCGATATAATACAATATAACTAGCTAAAACTACTTATAATAATAGACACCGTCAGGTACTTACATTGACTCTAAAATCGCGTAGGATTTCGACAAGACGACTCTCGTGTTCCTCCGTAATTTTCGTGATATTTTCCCTTTGCTGTGCCCGTAATTGTTTGCGCAACTCGTCGAACTCTTTATCCAATTCCTTCTTCATTGTTTTGATCCTCGCTTGGTGTTGCTTGCTCAACTTGATCTCGCTGAGTTTGGCGAGCTTCTCCTCGTCCAAGTCGCGTTCGTGTTCGTTCTCCAATTTCCCCATCTCCTGATTCCTCAGCTCCAACAATTCTCCCTTTCTTTCGTCGAGTTCGGTCTTCAAATTCGCCAAGATCTCTTGCCTCTCCTTTTCGTAGCAAACCTCCAATTCGGCCTTTACCTTTCTCAGATTCTCCAACTTGGCCTCGTCCATTTCGGCGATTAATTTTTGAATTTCTCGTTCCTCCTTAACGAATGATAAAAATTGATAAAAACGTATAAAAAAATATACATATATATACGTTATAAGGTTAAAATCGTCAAAGATGAAGTAGAAAAATACCTTCTCGACCATCTTTCGCCTCATATCCTCCAACTTGTCGCTCAGATTCTTCTCTAATTGCTTCTTCTGCTCCGCAAAATTCTCCTCCAATTCTTTTTTCATTTGTTCCAGCTTGTCCTTGTACTCTTTCCTCAACGCCTCGATGTCCTTCTCGTGCTCCTGACTCAATTTCGCTTTCGTCTCCTCCAGCTTCTTGCTCTGATCTTGTTGCTTCGTTGCCTCATTGGCTTCCTTTCGCGAGATATCGCGTGTCTCTTGATTGATCTTAGAAAAATCCGAAGTCTCGTCGTCGTCGGTCTGCTCGTTGCGCGGGAACTCCACTCTCAATTTGTTCTTCCGCCTTAGTTCCGAGTCGCTGTAATCGGTCTCGCTCTTCGAAACCAGATCGATGTTCTTAATCTTGTTGAATTTGTTGGTGAACGTGTAGTCCAAACTGCTTTCCCTCGACAAACTCTCTCCGGACAAACTGTCCCTCATTTGCATACGGTGTTCCTTCTCGGAAGCGTTCTGAGGGGCGAACTTTTTACGAAGTTCGTTCTCAGGCACGTTTCTTACGACGAACCTTTTGCCCACGATCTTCCCGTTTTGCGTCTTCGACGCTTCGATCCTTTCCGACGATAAGCTCTTCTTGATACATCCGTCGATCTTGTCCTCGGGATCATCCTTGCTTTCCTCGCCCGTGAATCTTTGGCCGATTTTCTGCGCCGAGGGGCTCCACTCGGTGTCTCGATTCGAGAGCATAGCGAGCACCTCTTGCTCGTCAGATTCGGATTCCGACTCGTATTCAGACCTGGAGTAAGTGTACTTGATATCCACTTCCTTCTCTATGTCGAAACGTACGCTTTTCCTCTCCTCGTCCACCGGTCTGTCGTCTGATCCAAGAAGATCGAATCGTTAAAATTCGACGCGACGCGATAATAACGCGATAGAGAATTCAACTTACCGTCCTCGGATTGTTTCTCCCTGAGAATCGACTTCAACTTGTCCCCGCTGTCTTTGTTGGTCTCGTCCGGGATCGACGAGATACGGAACTCGTCGAGTTTACCGGTTTCGTGGATAGGCGTGGTGTCCCTGCTCCTGTTGCTCTTTAGAAACATGGTCCCTCCACCGCTCAGAGTCAACTCCTTCTGTTGGCCGAATTGGCTCGGATGCTTCTCCTTGTCGAACTTGTCGGATTTCTCCGACCTGGCCAACGTGTTGATGCTAAGTTTATCGATGTCTATGATGTTCTCCTCGGAGCTAAACCTGCTTGACAACTGCTCCCAATCCTTCTCGTGCCTCGGGCTGAGAGACTCCGATCTCTTGAGCACCTCTTTCAGGTCTATCTCCTGCTGCTTTGGGCTGGTGGTGGTCGTGTTGGTGGTCGACGGGGCCGTCTCCAGAAGCTTGGGACACTCGTAGAATCTCGGATCTTGGAACTTGAGGTTCGTGTAATCCCTGCCGGCCCTGTTAGTCGCCAACGGATTGTCCTCCCGTTTCGATTGTTGCTTCTCTTGGCTCCCGCCGCCATCCTTCTTCCTCGTACCGTCGATCTTGTCCAATTTTTTCAACGGCGCCAGCTTCGTAGGGATTCTGGTAGGTGGCAGATTGTTCTTGGCGGATTGCTTGGCGGATTCTTTGGACGAAGATGTTTCCTTGGGCAGAGTTGCTTCCTCGTTGGACTCGAGCTCCTTGGCCGTTGTCTTCGAGTCCTCTTCTGTCGATCAGAGGCAGAAAGCAAACTTTGTGTAACTTGGTGAAGTTGTTTCGTTGCGAGTGGACAGAAAGAGAGAGAGAAAGGAGGGAAAAGCTTGGAAGAAGAGGCAGGCACGAGTCGATAGTCGTTCCAAGGATCAGAGAAACGCGCGCAAACATTTCCCCGCTCACGATGACCCTCTCGAGTGAAAAGAGGCGACAGTATCAACGTTCCCTCGCGAGCGAGTCAACGACTGTTTTCCACTCTTTTCCCTCCTCTTTTTTTACACTCGGCACAGAGATAAGAGGAACAGCGATGAAATGGATAAGAAAATATGCCTAAAAGCCGAGAAGAGTGCAGAGGCGATTATTATGTAACAGCGAGGAGTAGAGTTGTCGCGTATAAAATGTCATGCATTTTTTTCCAGCTCTCCCCTTCACTTATCGAAAGAAAAAAAGAAGAAGAACGAAAAAGAAAGGAAAATGAGAGATGAAAGAGAAAATAAGTCTTTTTCGCGAGCAAAAAAGATAAAAAAAAAGTATCGGATTTCATGAATCGATTTGTAAGATTCTGTGGACTAAATATGTTATTTCGTTTTCGTCAGTTAGGTTTGCATTGAAAAATTGATAGCGAACAAATTCATGCATATTCATGATAATATTTATCACCACGAGTCCCGAGAGAAACGGACCAAACAAATATTTTTACAATTATTCAAAATCCTCTTAACGTAGTTGTCGTTCTGAAAAAAAAAAAAAAAAAAAATTACAAAATCGTATTTATAAAATAATCCATCGCGAGTTTCGTTTCCATTTACAGAGCGAGAGGGAGGATGTTATTTCATAACCACCGCTTCAGAGAAATCTACGATGGGGTGGAAATTTAAAAAAAAAAAAGAAAAAAAGAAAAACCAACCCAACCTTCAGAGCGCGCCTTTAATCTTCCTCTTTATCCGATGCAAAAACGAGAGAGAATATATATTAAAAAGACGGAACTATCAACAAATATTGACTTTTCGCGCGTCCACAGTTCTCAGGTCTAGGCCGCAAAAACCACAGCATGTTGACACGGCTTTAAACACTGCTTTCGATCTCTGACTAACGATAATCGATACTCCGTATAATTCGATGACAATATTTAAAATAAAGAAGAAGAAAAAAAAAAGAAAAAAGAAGAAAAAGAAGATACACGTATTATTTCGGCAAATGTTTACCATGCCCATCGTGGAATCGTGGTTCGAAGCTCATATCGTAATCGTCTTTGTTGCCTGGTTGCCGAAAGGGTGACAAGTGTATCGAAATTCTAGTTCGTAAACGAGAGAGCCAATAAATTCACGTGAACGGCAATTGATCGTGTACCCTTTTGAGATTGTGTCACCACCGTTTGGACGGCATAGAACCGTGGCGAAGAACACAACGACACCGACAACGACAACGATGATCCGCGTTCGATGGACGAGGACGCGATAATTGGACGGATCTACGTTCAAGCAACTATTACGTACTTTCACGAACGAGTGCACCGACACGTGAGTGCTGGCTTAACGAATGTATCGTTAGCACGGTGAGGAAAGACTTTGAGGGGTTCTCTGTTCTCGCAGGCAGAGGCGAGTCCGCGCGCGCGGCCATCACCGAGGAAAATCGCGCGACAAATCGGCGCGATACAAGTTTATTGTCCTCGAGCCGATTGCAGTTTGAACTTGCCGGCCTTTAGTTCACCCGGTTCACTCGATCCGTTTCACTTTCTACGAAAACAATCGTTCGTTTTTAACGGTCGGCCCGCTCGACGAGATACCCTTTTCGCGATGAACTCTGACGACGACGAGGAGCAATTTAATTTACTGCCCGTATTTTTCGAAAAGAAAAAAAGAAGAAGAAGAAGAAGAAGAAGAAGAAGGAGAAAAAGAAAACTAAAAAAGAAACGATTATCGATGTTTGTTACATAAAAGCGAGGACGCGAGGGAGAGCCGCGATAAGATTAACAACGTTACCGCAATCGATACGCACGTGTTCGTAAATAATTAACAAACGAAACGAATTCGGTACGGTGTGCCGATTGTGTCGCGCTACGCGAATCGCGAAAGGTTACATAAAACTCGCGAGACTGACTCCGTGTGGCTATGAACTATACGCCGCGTTACGTAAAAATACCGAGCCAATAAGTGGAGGCTATTTCGTTGCCGGCCGATCTGTGGTCATTGGAAAAGAAAACGAAGCGGTTTGTAATTGTACGAAGTCAAGCTTCAAGGTCAAGCGCAAAAGAATATTCCTACTTTACGTAATTGCTATGAATCCGTCTGAATATATTGTGCGACCAAATATGCGATGAATGATTAATCGAGATTTAAAAAAAAAAAAGAAAAAAGAAAAGGGAAAGAATAAAGCGGAAAAAATTGAAAGATTATACAAAGTTTCGTTGAAAAAATTTAACGAAAAGCCAAAATTCCGTTTCAAAAGTTTGCTGAACCGACATAAACATATATATATATATATGTATAAGTGTCTGTGTGTTATTTAATTTTGACGCGAATCGTTTAAATTTTGGCAATCGAACAAGAGCAGAGAACAGACGAAAAGCGCGCCATCTAGCGAGGCTCACGGGCACTCGTCCAATTTTCATCATAATAAAAATTAGGAAATAATCTTTGATTTTTAAACAGATCCCGCTATCTTATCTTGTTTACTACTGGAATTCGTATCGAGGATTCGTTCGAATTAGAAAAGAGATAGATACGGACGAATTGTTATCGAAACATTGTTATCGGACGAAAATCAGATTCTCTGAAAAGAGAATGGTTTCGCTCGGCGAAGCGTGGGATCGTCAATTTCGATCGATCGAGAAACGAACGTTTGATTTCACGTTTGATGGGAATGAATGTCGAGCAAAGTGATAAGTGAACGTTCACGTAGTAGTCTTTTCTTTCGGGTGTGAGGTTTAACCCTTTGCACGACAACGTTGACAGCACAAGATGCAAAGAAAAAAAAAAAAAAAGAATCATGCGATTGCGATTCCATGATACGAATATAATGCTTTATTTATACACCATGATCTACATACATGTACAAAACGCGAATATACGTTGTATATCGATAGTAACCTACTTTCGTCATCAGTAGGAAACATGTCGGTTGATAAAAAAATATTATTACACATCGTGTTTTATTCGTAATCAGTCTTCTCCTCGATTCTTCGCGTTCTACGAGTCGTCGATAAGTGACGATCGTAGAACGGGGCAAATACAAATGAAAAGCTCATAATTATAATAAAGATAATCCTTATTAATTCTTTTTTTTTTTTTTTTTTTAAATAGTAAAAATATTCAAGCATCTTTAAGCATTCGTAACGTAATACGTTCACGGTGTACATTATCGCGTACAATTTCTACATCCGAATTACTTTGGTGAACTGTCGCAATTGAAATTGAAGAAGAATCATTTTATTTACTTACGAGCCTTTCAAACGTGCGATTGTATCATAATACACGCGTTCTACCTCCAATCTAAACTAACAACGGTGCAGCAATAAAAAAGGAATGGATGATGCATCGGTTAATCAGTCTTTGTCTCTATTAAGCGCAAAGTGCAGCCAAGTGATATCAGTCCAAGTGCAAAGGGTTAATCCTATATTTTCCATTCAGCCGTAATGACGAGGCAATCCGTACCGACGCTGATCTGCCTGGCGTTAACAGGCTTGGCATTGCTCGCAGCTCTGGCCTGCTCGACCATCTCCTTGTACACGGCGTCCAGGGGATGTTGCCAGGTGGTGGTTCCGGTGGAAGCTTGGTAATAGTACCAAGCACCGCTCGTTTCGTGGAAGCATGGTAGCCAGCCCTTGGGGAGGGCCGCCATCAGGCCCTCCCGAGCCAAACTCAGGAGGTGTGGTTCTGTATCCGGGTCGATTCCCAACCGCCTCGCATATTCGAGTACCTCTGAAAAAGCACACGTGCTCCATTAGCTGATTACAAGCCGGCCGGTGGACCGTGAGCTTTCGTTTCGTTTCGGGGTGTATAGGTATTAATTTGGCTGGAAACAAGTGTTCGCCATGTTCAAATGCGTGCACATGGAACGTCTTG